GACCTTTGGGAAAGGATTTATCCGAAGATTGGGTCGTTGTTATGATCTAGGCGTCCTGAAGCGTTCCGGTCCACGGCTGGACTTCCCCACCCACCATGGGACGACGTCCGATGAAGCACCCGCTTTTCGGAACAGTTCGATGAAAACGAAAGTTATCTCCAAATTTTCGCCCGCAAGATGTTTAAAGAACCCGAAACGCGCGCGACCGCCCGCCCTTTGCGTCGCTGAGTTCTGTGCGTTGGAGGGCTTTCAACGGGACGTTTACTTTGCCAGTCCCAAAACTTAGGGATGGTAATGAGGGAATTCCTAAGGATTATACCACAGCCTCGAGCCACGCCACGGGTAGGCGGGTTCCTACGGTTCCATGTCTCCTTGAAAAAAAAAAATTTCGGAAAAAAATGTTCGTAGACCCCTGAAAACAATTTTTCTTACTGAATCGATTGCACCTGGTCCCAGTATCTAGTTTGCATTAATTTCTTTATAAATATGTGTTTGAAGTTGGAGATCTCAATTTTGAATGGTATATTTTGAATTTTGGGGTACATCATTTTTATTTTTTGGGGTATTTGGGTATAGGATGGAAGGATCATTCTGATGTATTGCTAACATTCCACTCACGAATTGACCTAATTATCTTTCTTTGCGCGCTTTCGGCTTCGGGTTCCAGTCTTGGGCTGCGCTGGTGTAGCTTTCAACACGTTTGCACGGCCTTCATTCCCTTCTTCACTTTCAACCGGGGCAACCTTCGCCTCATCAGAAACTGCAGCGTCTCTCTTTTTTTTTTGGCACTTGCGTTTCGACGTGCCTGCTTAGCCTCCTTCGCGAGGCGCTCTTCCTCATCCGTAGGAGCTGCGTACAGGGGATCCGACGCAAACTCGGAAGGGACGTACGGTCTTACCTTGTTGTACATTTGCTGATTTTTCTTGAAATTCTGAGGCGGTGGTTGTAGAGGCTCTAAGTACGCAGCTAGCAGAGTTTGCACTTTTGCGGCGTCTGTCTGTATGCCGTCAAACGACCGGCGAAGGTCTTGGTTCATAGGCTCGTCTGCAGGTCCAACACGGCAGCTGACAACCCCCGGCTTCTCCTCGCTCATTGAGAAGATCTGGTAGCGCTGCACCCCCTTAAGATCCTTATAGGCCTCTGTGACCGGCGTTCGGAACACTTTCATCATCGTGTTCTCTTTCGGGATATGGACAATAGCTGAGCTAGACGAGGAGTCGTTGATAATCTCGAGTAGCTGGTCAGCCGTCCACACGTCCTCCTTAGCAAACTTCTTTCTCATAAGGCCGAAGCCACGGTCAACAGCGTTCTTGGTGTGACCTTTGACGAAAAACTTGAGCGAAACGACATCAAGTTCTCCAGTTTGAGCTAAAGCCAGCAGCATCTTAATAACGAAGTTATTTTTGTTTTGCTTCCCACAATTGTCAGCGTAGATAGTGAGTTTTCGGTGGCCGTTCGCCTGCACGATCCGCTTGATGAAGTGGTACAGCATGCTGTTGACCTCGTCCGTTCCTTTGCCGGCAACCGATTCTTCGTAGACGTAGTTGTACTGAATACCCTTGTTAGCGTAGTAAATTTCAAAGACGTGAACGGTCACCAGAGACAAGAAATACCACTGAGACGGCGTGCTGGTAACACTAGGAAGGGTCAGATTTTTACTGAAATCCATGACGATCACTGCAAGATCCTCCGACACGGATGCCAGGTCTTTCTTGTACTCCAGCCTATACAAAAAAGTTCACAGTTAAACAAAATGATCTTTGCATCCTATCTAAACAAAAATGATTCTTGTATCCCGTACCTCATCTCCTTCGCGGCTTCAGTATGGACGCCTAGCTCCTCAGTAAGCTCCGTCGTGATACACGACCGCATGCGAGTGTGCAGGATAGCACAGCAAATGTCGTTCTTTGAGGTGTCTTTGTCCAGAAGACCCTTGTGTACCTTTGAC